GGGCCCCCATTTTGAGACGAGCCGAAATGGGTGTCAAAAGCCAAACCCTGAACCGAGCCTTCGGGGCACTGCAATGATGTCCCGCACTGAATTGGGATCCCAGCAAATGATCACCAGCTTCGCAAGCCCTACATGCATTGGGGCGCAAAGCTGTTGGATAACAGACCACGGGCGATGCCACGCAACTGTTGCGGTCAAAGAACAAATAAACCAATGAGATGAAGTCCCCGTCATCCCTGTCGTAAAGCGCGCAAACACATCCCGTGCCCTACATAACAGCTATCAAGTTGCTTGTGAAGCGACCCGTTTGGTTGCTATCTCGGCGCTGTTTGAAGGGTATCCATCGCAAAGTCCTGGAATATGTTGATACAGCAAGCCCTTAAGTTCTAAAGCGTGGAGGCGAATCACAACCAAAAGTTTGTAGGCGTTTGAATTCTACTGGATTCTTGAAGTGCTTCCTCGGGATGGCTGTGGGACTCTCGCAGTTGGTACTTTGAGACTCTACCAGGGCTAATGAATAGAGCTTGCGCATCTTCTTTTCAGAATGGACATTCTCAGGCAGGTCCGCAGGCGGTTGGGGGGCAAGGCCCCGAAATCAAGACAGTGACATAAACAAAATAGCAACAACTGCGTACCTCCAACTCCCACGCGAGAAACGGTCCTTGATTACAAGATCGGCACCGTACAGTATGAATCCGGCCTGGCAATCCTCGGTATTATCCGTTCAACACAAACTAATCCTCTATTTTTCTGACCTACGCTGTCAGCCTAACTGGCGTTTTCCTGAATATGTATTTTTATGTTTTCATTACTACTTGTTTTTTCCCGATTCGGATTTACGATTTCAATACGACTCCTGTAACATGTATGTTTTTGTTACATTTGTTTTACATATTGGGCATGCACTTGAAAGCAGGGGTTGCAAAACGCCGTACTAAAATCATATTAGAAGCCTTATTCAAATCGTATTGAAATCGTATTAAAATCGCACAAATACGCTTTTAATACAAATTTAATACGATTTCATTACGATTTTAATGCGATTTCCATTTATTTACGTTGTTGTTGTTTAAACGAATTCCAATTTCCTGACCCCATATCGTAAAAAAATATTGTAAATCGTAAAACCGGCGTAACAAAACCATGTTTTCCAATCATGATGATCATATCAAAATCGTATCTAAATCGCACAACAAATAACTGGGCTTCCTGTGACTTAGCCTACACCGTGGGTCACAACTCTATTTGCATCAGGTGCATTAAAGCAAACCAGAAGTAGTAACCAGAATATGCCTTCAAAGTTGTTGAAGCCCGCCAGAGAAACAGAGAAACATAAGTGAGTCAACACTTCAAGCACCAAAACCAACAAAGCCTGGACGTGTATCAAAGCGATGGCTTCAACAGACGCCTAGCCGGGTCAGTCTTATTTTGGCCCTCAAACTCAGCAAGACTCTGCAATTCTGATTTATCCACATCCCTTTTCGCATCCACAGGGCCAATATAGGGCCAATTTTTGTCCAGCGATGCATCACAAGAGACGTGACATTCCTCGGCGCTCCTCGGGCTCCTACCGCCCGTGTACTCCGAGCCGCGATGCGCGCATCGAAGGTGGCGACAGGCTGAGCCACGAGAGCCCAGTGATGGCGCTTGGGCCACAGAAAAAGGTTCCAGCGCATAGATTCCCGCAGCACCTTGGGGTTCATCCCCAGAATCATCGCCTCAGTCTGGCCCAGGTTTTGTTAGCTTGTAAAACCAGCTCAATTTCCCCTAAGAAGACCCGTGCTTTTTCCTAGGGAGGGGCCCATATCGGTCTTCAGGGCAAACCTCGTCCACCATCCCCAACTCCGACGCCCACCCTATACTCCATGCATGTCATTCCCCGTGCAGCCACAAAACGAAAGTGGAAGTGGCTCCTTTAATGGTGGGGCTCCAAACAACTCCTGGCTATTGGCCCCCAACTTCCCCTTCCTCGCACACACACACACACTCACGCACGCACGCACGCACGCACGCACCTTCGTTGTAGCAACTTTGCTCCGAGGCAACTGCTCCCCTTGCCCTGTATACAGTGTTCAAAGCTACAACTTCTATGTTGCCAAAAACTTTCAAACTTCCGAACGTTTGTTGTCTTGGTTGGTTCTAGCCACAACGAAGACCACAAAAGTTCGAAAGAGGGTCAACTCCCGAGCTGGATGGCCAAACCCGCAGCTCAAAGAAGCTTGCAGTTTGCTGTTAAGCGGTGAACAGCTACCAGCATTTCGGGGGAAGCGAGTCTAAAACTTCGAGCAAGCCGAATGATTCTCTTCCGTCGTCCTTTGAACATCGGTCGAGATGTCAAAGGCCCCAAGCAAGGGATCAGAAGCTGACCCGAGGCCGGAGCAAAAGTCGCAGAGTTCCCCTCTCGACCTAAAACCAATCCGGGCCGCCACCCGCTCCCGGAAGCGCTGCAGCGCGCGCACGGAGGGATTTCTGCAGGCCATGCTCTTGCGGCGGGCGGTGCAGCATGACCACCTGAGACACACGAACTGGGGGGGTAGCGGTAGGGGTAGAGTAGGTTGCCCTTTTGTTCGGCCACGGCTTAAGTCAAAGAAAGGTGCCGAGTCTGGGGTCCAAGTTCTTTGGTGGGGAAGCCACAAAGGTTGAGAAAAGGGACCACTGAACAACAGGGGTCTGCATGGCCCTGGTGCCGAAGACTGTCCAAAAGGGGATTGACAGAATCCCTGTTCGCAATTGCATGTGTTCCTTTGAGAGTGTCAAGGAAAATGGACCCTGTGTCACCGGGATCCCGATGACCGTGCGAAGCTTGGAGCCCATCAGATTCTGAGCAAGCCTTCCAGTTGTTCAGCGGGTTATTCCTTTTTGTCAGATTTTCCCAGAGGACTTGAACATACAAGGTTAAGTCTTTGTCACCTTGACTAAACCAAAGGTGAAAATATCAAAGGTAAAACCCGCTTGATTCGCTGGTGGCAACTGAGATTCTTTTCAAGCCAGCATGATGGCGTCAGGAAACGTGGGACATACAGCCCCAAACGCACTGCAGCCGAGATTTACTGCAAACCCAGATCAAATATTGCCCACTTAAACTTGCTTCCTGAGTGGATGGGCCAAGAAAAGTCAAAACTTGTTGCTTGCCATCAAAACTTGTTGCTTGCCACTAAATTGCTCTTCCCAGAAAGTATGAAGTCGAGCAACTTAGGAAGTGAGCCAGTTTTCCAAAGGGTCGTTGGGTGGGGGATGCTTATCCCTTGTGTTGAATGATTCTCCCTCGGGAATGAATCAAACAACAAAGTTCACGCTTGTTCTTGTGCGAAAGTAGGTGCATTCCTTTGCAGATCGACGGAGGTCCTCCCAAGCCTGAGAGACAACACATTCTGTCAACGTGCAAATCGAAGGGCCAAAAGCTCCCAGGAGGATTCTGCTCGAAGCAAGGCGAAAGCTTTCCACGAGAAGCCTAAAGGATGGCAATAGATACGCATTGAGTGGATTCAAGCTCTTGACCCCTTTGCTTCTACGGTTGTACAACAATCAGCCTTCACTATGCTTGTGCATTTAGCCATGTGGCTTCAAAGGCTTTTACAGCCCTGACTCTAGGTCATACCAAAAAAACAAGCTCTGAATTCTTGTGTTCCAGGGATCTTTTATTCCAGAGCAACAACCTGGGGATGTTGCCGGTTGTCGAGAAGAACAATGATAGAAAAGTGGAAATAAGTGGGGATCAAGCCCTAGCTTCATTGAATTGGCCGCCATTGGGCTGCGCTGTGAGCCCAAAAAACGCCTCGGCTATGGCCAGGGCACTCGAGGCTATCCATCGACCCGGCTTCAAAAGCGAGACGGTGGGCGCGCGTTGAGCCCCGGGGCTGCAGAGGGGTTGCGATGGCAAAGATGGAACGCAACCAGTCCAAGGGAAGCTTTTAGTCTCCAAATGCTGGGAGCTGTTGATGAATTTTGTTGGGCTTCCATTCTGTTCGGGAGCGGTTGAGTGAAGCTTCCCCAATTACCCCATCCTAGGGGGTTCCCTTCGGTATGCCAGGAAACGATTCCCCTCTCTACATGCAAAATGAGTTTACGGAAAGCAGCCCTGCAAACAGCGGAGACCAAACCTGCAAACGTTTAGTGCCCTAACAGTTAAAGGGTGAGATGTTGCAGGGGTCTTACTTTAATTCGCATTCAGAAAGCCGCGGGGCCTCCTTGGTGTGGTGGTCTCAAATGGCCATCTATCCTGAGGTTGCAAAGGGTCAGCAATCCAATGGTCAACTTTGGCAACTGAGACTCCAGATGGTGGATAAAAAGGAATGGCTGAAATGCTAAACCCCGCCTTCAAGCGGTCCAAACGACACGTAAGGCGGAGCTATTGGCCGGTCGGGTTTCTCTAAGCAGGCTGGATCGTGATCAAGTTGTGATGCTGTCGGGCGCTCATCAATTGGTCGACTGAATCCAAGTCAATGGAATCTCCACCCAAGTGAGCGGCAATGAGAGGACAAACAAAAGAACGTGTGCTGCTTTCGGTCAACATATTTTAAATTTGCATTGCCTACATCAAAGTCCCATGCCACACAAGACAGATATATCCGCATTTTATCGACCTTGACAAGCCCCAACGTATGCAAATACAGCATCCGCAAACACCAAGCGGTCAAACTCTAGCAAGTTCGGAGCAGCGTAGATAACGGTGCTTGGGAAATAACAGCCATTCAGGGTTTCGGGGATATTCGGGATCTCCCTTCTCCATTGACACACGTGCAGAATAGAAACCTCCGCTGGACAATGTTGGAAAATGCCAAGAGAAACCCCTCTCTTGAGGCGCTCCCGCTTTGCCGACGGCAGTCACCCCTGAGTCTCCGGGTAATTTTCGATGCCGCACCGGTGGAAAGTGCCAAAGAGCGGTAAAAAAGTGACAATTTGTGGAATCCACTAGTTTAAGAGCATCCAAAAATATCCAAAATGTAAAGTAGTTCATCTAGACTGAGATTCCGCCACAAGGCGCTGAGGGGTTCCCCCGCCTGGGCTTGCGGGGTGTGGCCTGGTTGCCCTTCAGGACCTGGCGGAGTTCGGATTTGCCTTGACCTGAGAAAACTGCGAATGGCCGGTTCAATTCACGCTGTACCTCCAAAGTCCCCTGGAAAATGAACAAAAAGTCCAGTAGGCGTAGATTCCGGTTAAAACAAAGAGGGGGCATAAATTATGTTCTTGAGCAAAGGGAGGTTTATCAGTCCCATGTAAAGTTCTGCAAGAGGGGGCCAAAAAGAAAACAATCAAAACCACCAGTCCAATTAAGTTGAAAAAGCATCTGACTTGAAGGGTCTCTTGACTTTCAGCAAGCATGGGGAACCACGTCTAAAGGCAATAACTGAGCAAAAAAGGGGGGCTGCAAAAGGAGATTCCTCTCTTGCGTGTGGGGTTCCAGTTTGTGGCCAGGAGGGTAGACATACAACGCCCCTTGCGAGGTTCGGAGGAAGCCGCAGTTTGAATCGTAATTTGCGCAGAATATTCTGGGTGAATGAAGAGGATTCACCCCAGGACTTCCCAAGCTGCAATGGGTGTCATCTTTTGTGAGAATACCCTTTTTGGAGTGGTTCTTAAAGGGAAACCAAATGGGAAACCGGCATTTTTTGTTGGGTCGGGGTCTTGCAAAAAAAGACACTCACGGAGAAGGTCGCATGTAGGTGTGGCTCACTTGCCCGCTTGGGAGCGGGAAATTAAAGGTTCACCTGGGACCTGCCGAATGGAAGAAGGGAAACACCAAAGGGCTTTGGACACCTGGCTGTGGGACAGAAGCGCCCAAAAAGCACTCTGGTAAGTGAAGACAGGGACTAAAACCTGCGGGGTTTGACTTTGACATACCTAACTGACGGGGTTGCTATATTTTGGCCGGCAGCAGTGCGGTATCAGCCCGACTGCAAGCCATATCCTCAAAGTCAAAACAACCAGCAGACGGATTCGAATTCTGAGATCATGAAATATCGACAATGTCAGGGTTGCGAGCCCAAAGCAAAAACTGCAACTGCGACTGTTGTGGCACGCTGCTCGCAACCCAAAACGCAGGACAACGGACTTACAAAGTGGCACCTCAGCCGCCATGCTCAGCCCCCTTCCGGATGGAGGAAGGAGGTTAAAATTAGTTGCCAGGGTTGGGCTGGTTGAACTTGACATTCCTGCAATCGGCCAAGAACCGCTAAACTATTGGCTGAAACTGCAAAGGTGCACCAGGCACCCGACGGACGGCCAACATGAAAATCGCAGATGTCAAAGCAGTCCGATTTATTTGAGCACAGGGCCTACGGCCACAAGCCGGCATGGGTTGAGCGGCATAAGTTTTACACACCAGCCAGTGAGAAGGGGCTGAAGCGTTTACCCCGGTCTGAATAGGATTTCATCCGTCCGAACTTGCGAAATGGATTTTGTCCATCCCTGGTAAGTTCCCCCCCCTAATCGATGATTTGGATTTGTGGTTTGGAGGTGAGCTCAGGGGTGGTTTCTCATTTCCCCTCTGCAAGATTCACGGTTTCACGTCCCCGAAGAAACAAAAAAAAACATTCCAAAAACCACCGGCTAGGGTTACCTGAAGTTTTTGCTTCGGGGGAAGGCGCCTGCCGGACCAGAGCCGCACTGGCGGGGCTGACCAGGTCATGCTCCTCGGCTTCCGGTCCGCGATCAGGGGTGTGAAATCGGGGACCCCGCAGATGTGAGCCTGATCAAAACCTCTAAGTACTCTGCATCCCTTTGGCCTCTTTTTGGGTGCAGGACTGTGCCTTCTTGGGGCTCGGTTTGGCGCCTCCCCCCAATTTTTTGGGCGGCTCGTACCGCTTCAGCAAGAACGCTCTAGCAATTGCCCTGCAAGAGGAAAACATACAAGGCCCCCCTCCAAGACTGCAGGCACATCCAATCCCACCCTTCCGCCTTCCTCCTGTAAGATGGACGTTTCTTGTGGGTCGGTGCCCCCCATCCCGAACAAATCATCGAATTCCTTGTTGGGATCGTACGCCTGATTCCTGGAATTTCGGCAGCTGGGAGTCTGGGAGGACCGGAACTTTTTACTGGAACACTATATCTCTGGATTGTGGATTTGTTTGACCAGGCACAACTGAATTTGTCCACACCAAATTGACTGATGCATGTGGCAAGGAAGGAAAGCCACCTGAAGCAGCCGAATCGAAGGATTCGGGACTCCCGAATCAACGCGCAACAACAGCCCAACAGCCCAACAGTCAGCTCAACAGCCCAACAGCGCAACACAGCCCAACAGCCCACACAAAGCCAAGAGGCCAACCAAACCCTAACCCCTAAACCTGGAAACCTTAAACGCAACAGCGCAAACAGCCCTACAGCTCAACAGCCCAACAGCTCAACAGCCCAACCGAAGCACAACAGCTGGGGACTAACTCAAACCTTATCAAATTACATATACCTCCTTTTGCTGAAGGCGCCGAAAGCAAATCGCCAGTCGTCATAACCATGCTCTCCAAAGACAGCTGAGGAAGATACACAGAATCTCCCTTTCGTGCTTCCTCAGCCATGCACGATCGATGCACGTGGCTAGCTGCTTCCAAAGAGCCGTCTTAAGAAACCTGGCAAAGGGCCGAAGCTCTCTGTGAGTAAGGCCCCACACTCTCCATGTTTTACAATAATTCCAGGATCCGAAATAAGACAACTCCCCAAGTTAGTAAGGGATCCGTGATCTCCTCTGTACTATAGGTCCTTTACCTCAAGAAGAGTCGCCATAAAAGAGGCAAACTGACATGACCTCCTCCCAAAGCTCGACCTCCACACTCGCGCAAGGACATCTACTTGCCTTGGCCCAGGAAGGTACATGGGTCCTAACATGGAGGACCCCTGAAGTGGCTTCTCTTGTGCCCCCCCTTTGGAAACAACCAACAGGGGTTCCCGAAAAAGACAGGACACACCCATATTGTTGCTCGCCCCAGGCGACAAATCGTTGCAACAGTGGGTCGAAGAATCTCCCAATGAAACCATGCTATCAGTCCGTCTATGAGGCACGTTGCCAAAACACAACCTAAGGCGCTCTCGCAGCACATGTGGACCTATTTGCCAATTTGGGCAACATGGATAAGTTTCTCAGCCCGTGGTCAGTTTGCTTCGAGCGTTGTTCTTTTTTCAAAGAAAACCCTAACTACTGAACACATAGTGCGACAGTGCTCAGTTCGACAATGCCCCAACAACTAAGTGGTCATGTGTCATGTGTTCAATCGAGCTCAGGGTTTGCAGTCAGCAAACCTACTGAAGTTGTGGGGGCAATCCCTTTGACAGTCAGGTCAAACATTAGGAAATTCGGGGACAAACTCGGGTTGATAAAATCAAGCCCTCAAGGGTCACGGCTCGGCTTTACATGGACCACCCTGGAATGCAAAAACATAATTGCCCTCTTGGGAATAGGTGGCCTGCTTGCCTCACCAATGAATTGGTTTCTACCCATGGCAATTCTTCTCTTCAGGACAGAGCAGCACTGCACTGCAACGTCCCGTATTGACTCAACGGCTCCATGGTTTTCGACGCAAGTCCCAGAAAGCAGAACGGCTCCAAACATTCTTGTGCTCACCCCACCTTACAAACAAAAAAGCACCGCAGGGGTCCAAAAGGTGACGTTTAAAACAAAGCCAGCTGGGGGGAAGAACTCACTTTAGGGACCAAACGCGTGATGTTCTTGCCACCCTGCGCAAATGGAAAGTCGGAGCTCCGAACTCCGGGTTCTCGGCCTCGCCTGCGCCAAACCTCCGGCTCCTTGAGGATTTGCCGCGCCAGGACCTCCGACGCCTCCGGCACCTTGAGCTCGCTCCTCCGCTGGCCAAAAGCTCCGGGTCAAGCCGAAAAACAACTTGAGGAGGCGCAAAAGAGAACATGCCATTTGGGGCTGTACTCAAATTCGCATTTTTTGTTTTTCCCCAACAGCTGAAAGCTTTGGGGTCTCAGCCCAGATAGGCTCCGGGGTGGTTCGGGGCGACCCTGAGCTAAGGTTCCACCAGTTCCACCAGGGGTTCCACCAGGGTTCCACCAGGGTTCCACCAGGGTTTGACCAGGGTTCCACCAGGGTTCCACCACAGTTCCAGCAGGGTTCCACCAGGGTTCCACCAAGGTTCCACCAGGTTCTGCAAGGGCGGGTGGTTTGAGGTAAGGTTCCACAAGGGTTCCACCAGGGTTCCACCAATTTCTTCGAGTGCGGGTTTGAGGAAGGTTTCACGCGGGTTCCGCCAGGGTTCCGCCAGGGTTCCAGGCTGCGGGGTGGTTTGAGGTAAGGTTCCACGAGGGTACCAGGGTTCCAGCAATTTCTTCCAGGGCTGGGGTGGTCTGGTTTGAGGAAGGTTCCACGAGGGTTCCATCCACGAGGGTTCCACCAAATTTCTCCATTCCAGCACGGTTCTAGCAGGGTTTCACGGGGTTCTGCGAGGGCTGCGGGGTGGTCCGGGGTGGTTTGAGGTAAGGTTGTATGAGGGTTTCAGGGTTCCGCAAGATTCTGCGAGGGCTGAGGTTTCACAGGGTTCCACAGAGCTCTGCAAGGATTCCACATGGGTTCCACAAGGCTCCACAATGCTCCACCAAGGGTGTGTCGTGCGCCCGTCGTCTGAAAAGCCATCGGATCAAGATCGCTTTGCTTATGGGCGGAACACTAAGCAAAACCGAAATCAATGGTTTTTAGCACACTTTCACTGTTTTGTGACTTGCTCACTTGCTCAGGCAAATGTTGGCTTTGTGGCAAATCAGATCACGTCGCTGCGGAACTCACGGTGCAGCAGAGTAAATGCTTGGCATTGCTGCTTGGTGGGCTTTGGGTTCCAACAATTCCACGAGGCTGCGAGGGCTATGAGGTCAGAAGGTTTCCACCAAATTCTGCAAAAGCTATGGGGCAGCCCTGAGGAAAGGTTCCAGCAAAGTTTCACGCTGAGCTCCACGAAAGTTGCGACCGGGCCCAGGTTGGGGCCCGATTGCACTGTCGGGGCCGCCCGATTGCACCGTTTGGGCCCGATCGGCCCCGATTGCGCCATTGCGCCCCGAACGGGGCCCGACCCAGTCGGGCCCCGTCAATTGTACCAAGCTGGCATCGCCTAGTTTTGCTATAGATACAGTTGCAATCCGCGTTGAGCTATAATATAGGTGCCACGGGACGATCGGGGCCCGATTGCACCGTCGGGCCCCGATCGGGCCCCGATTGCGCCGTCGGGCCCTGATCGGGCCTCGATTGCGCCGTCGGGCCCCGATCGGGGCCCGACTCAGTCGGGCCCCGTCAATTGTACCAAGCTGGCATCGCCTAGTTTTGCTATAGATGCAGTTGCAATCCGCATGCTAAGGAAAACCGGCGTTGAGCTATAATATGGGTGGCTGGGGTTGCACCACGGGACGATCGGGGGCCCGATTGCACCGTCGGGCCCCGATCGGGCCCCGATTGCACTGTCGGGCACCGATCGGGCCCGATTGCACCGTCGGGCCCCGATCGGGCCCCGATTGCGCCGTCGGGCCCCGATTGGGCCCCGATTGCGCCGTCGGGCCCCGATCAGGGCGAGATTGCGCTGTCACTCGTAGCTTTGCTTTACAAGGCGGCATCCTCAGCAACACCGGCGGTAAGGACGGTCCGGGGCGTTCCGCGAGGATTCTGGGAGTGCTGTTGGGGATATCGCCCGAGCTTATTTAATTTTCCGGGCGCAGATGTGGCGAACCAAAGGCTGACTTGATCACATTTGGGCTGGCCACGAAAAGGAACTTGAACTGGCAAATACAAATTCAGGAACGCGTAATCGACGGGAGCCATGTTTGAGCCACGGGCCGGGGCCTAAATTGGCATATTGGGCCACCTGTCTGCAGTGATGACCCCCGCCCCATTTTTGGAAGGCAATGGGAACAAGCTACACCCCTGCTTTAGTTGGTTAGTTTCCAAGGCAACCCATGGCCATCGCCAGCGCATGCCAGCGCGGTTGCCCAACACTGCCAACTGCCGGTTAGCTCCGAGAGTCTGCAAGAGGGGATTCACAATGACCACAGAGCCCTTGACGTAGCTGTCCATGCACAGCACCAGCACTGCCCTCAGGGAATTCGGTCAAGGAGGGCAGCGGGAAACCTCATTGCCAGACCCATCCTGTGAGTATATCACCTTGTTTGTTGTTCATTGGCGTTCAAAATGCCGACCGGACAACGCGGGAGGCAGCCAAAATATTATTTCCAGACTGATCCCGTGAAATGTCTGTTCTATGAAGTGTTTTGGCCGCCAGAAGGGCGCAACGTGCCACAGGCCGAGCCCCGGTTGTGCCAGAAGCTGAACACTGGTCGGCCACTAAATTGCTCACCAAGTGCAGCAGTTGGACAGCCAAGTTTGCACACATAGTTGTCCTTTGGTTTTCCTCCTGACCTGCCTAATGTCCTGCGTCGCACCCGGCAACCTGGGTAGCCTGAGTGGACTTTGGGCACAGAACCTCTAAAGGGAGTCCATGCTGCTTCCATGTTAGCTTTGTGGAGCCCGCACTGTACCTTGAAACAAGCAGAACTCAGGACCAGGGACAACTTCCATTTTGCTTGCAAAGAGCCAGCGCAAGCTGACCATGTGGGGTTGTCTCACAACAACTGGACCCCCAGTCAGATCAGCTCACTTGTCTTGCTGTTATACATTCTGCCGGCCCCAAATCCCAGGCTGTCCTGCAAAACAAGCCTGGCTTACTGAGCAAGACTGCTCACATGAAAGCGACCTGCATGGACCCAGGGAATTAACTACACCATCTTAAGGGCCTTTCACTCTGATTTGCATCGGCCCCATTCCCGCGTTTGGAAAGGCGCTTTGACAGGTTTACTGAGGGTAACCTGGAACTTCACTTGGTGTGCGCGGGGAGGGCATTGGATCCTTGCGCATGCCTCAAGTTCCAGCCAAAAGCCAGGGCCCCGGCCCTTTTGCTTCCAGCTCAGCGATGGGATCCTTGCAACCTCCGCAGCGGGATCATTGCTCTTGTTCAATCACGAGCAGCTCATTGCCCTACCACGTTCAAGCAAAAGGGTCTGTCTTTTTTGGAGGGTACCTGTTTCTGGTTGGCTTTTAAGGGACACCCAAAGGAACATCACCATGTTGGGGGGATTCCCCAAACAAAGACACACCCAAACAAAGGCAGGGATTTCCATCGCCCCCTTCAGCATATACCAATATGTACGCGTGTAAATGTATGTATGTGTGTATATATATATATGTGCATCTATGGATGCACTTATACAGTTATATATAATATAGATCCATTTTGTAGATGAGAGTACCTAGTCACTATCAAATCATTGCAGTTCCCATGCAACCATTGCACCATTCAAGGGTATGTCAAAATAGCCGTGAAGCCCACCCCTGCCCCCCACTACCCCTCCAAGTACTCGGTTTTGATTGTGGCTCATATGGTGGGCCTTTTTTGGCCCTCTTGGTTGACCTTAGAGGGGAAACAAAAAGGACTTCAGCCCTTTTGAGGTCCGCCAAGAAAGGGACACTCGGATCTTTCGAGGGTTCCCAGTTGAAGCCACCAAAGAAAGCATGGTACCCTCCTTGCCGCGTTGGAACAGGGGTTCCTTAAAGGAAGGATCTGAAACCGTCTAAAACCCTTTACAAGGGAATCCTCGCAGAGGTGATCTTCGGAACTGCTCAAATGGCACTGTGTGAAAAGAGGGGGATCCTATAAGCAGTTGTCCTTTTGGCTTCCCTTCAAACCAACCTGCAAGATGCTTGCAGGGCTGACATGCGTTGGCCAGTCTGAGTACCTCTAGCCCTGGAAAGGGGGCCCTCGAAAAGTCACAAGCCCAAGCCTTGCGCCCAAGGCACCGGGAAAGCTCCAGAGCCCGCCGCTACGCAGGAAGATGCAGCTGCAGGAGGATGGCACGTTGGGCATCGACAGGAACCTGTCAAGTCACACCTCTCACTCCCTGACTGCGTTGTGTTTGGGACGAAAATAGCCCTGTGCCCCCAAAAGTATGACATCTAGGAACTCAGGAGTGAGACTTGAAAATAAAATGTGCTAACCTCTCCTCAGACTGGGGGACTGTACCCCACAAGGAAGTTCCCCTGCTGCAGCAAGGTAGGTGGGAAAAAAAAGAGTTCCCGCCTTCTGTGACGCTAGGCGGGATTCCCACCCTCATGACTACTGACTGCGAATATGTAGCGCGGACTGCTCACCATCGCGGAAAGCGGCAACCTCAAACCCATTGCCGTTTCTGAAGAACTTGGGCATAAAGGCTTAGCCGCTTAGAACCTCTGAGTGCAACTAAGCCCAGTGATTGAAAGGCCCGGTTGCGAACGGTCAGCATACCTGCACCACAACACCCCCCACTCGATAGACCCGCTGAGGCAAGTCGCAATGGCTCGAACCACGCCGCTGAAATCGGGACTTCCGAACACAGACCCTGCGTGAAGCGTCTGCGCGGGGGTTCCAAAAACGTCGAAGGGCCGTGAAAGAGATTTCAGGAGCTGAGAGTCTCGACCAATCAACACATAGGATCATATGGGTATCTGTCAAGATAGAAGCCATCAGTGGACAGCAGGTTTTAGTCCTTGGTTCCATTTGCCAGGTTTCCAAATGTGGGTACCTATTTTGGACCCCCACTGCCACTGACTTTGTCACATGTGGACATACCGACTTGGGCTCCAGGCTTGATGGCGTTGGAGTGGCCGAAAACCTGTCGGTATGCGTGGGGTCAAAGGGGACGCCCACTCTTCAAGGGGCTCTGCGGTATATTGCAGGGGCACCAAGACTTGATCGGTTTTCTGTTGGTTCCCTCTGAACACTTCCCGCTTAGGAGCTCCCATGCACTAAGTCTTGTGACCAGGCTTTCAGCAAGGACATGAAACCAAAACTGCTTAGTCACGGGGTCCCTCGAAGCACTTACCCTCAAAAACCCCAGCAACGACCCCAACCAGCCCCCCTCAACACAGCTACACCACCCAAAGTGAATCCTAAACCGACCCTAAAACTACTACCAGCCAGCCCAAATCCTGGCCTAAACCCATTCTGTTCTAAAACAACTTGATCAAATAAACAAGCACCCACCAGAAACCTGACCCGAAATCCATCCCAAACAAAGCCTAAACCCTTTCCTTATGCCAGATTAAACTGGCCAAAGCAACGCCAAAACCACCCAAAGTCACACAACCCTAAGCCCATCCTAAGCCCATCACTTTCTTCCCACAGAACAAGTCAAAAGGTTCAGCTTCCTTGGGCATTCCCCCGCCTTCTTGGTCTTCAAGGCCGAAGGCCAGCTATCCCACTGGGCCTTTACCCGCGCAGCGGCGCTCCCGTAGGGCTCCGGCACCTCTACGCTCTCCTGGCAATCCGCTCAAGCGGATTGGCCCATGGCTTTAACCTCCCAGCTCCACATCAAAGCTTCGAAGTGCTTCCAGCAAATTCCGTTCCAATAATTCTGTGGTTCCGCTTCCTTTTGGACCTGTGGGCCCACTTCAATGCCTGGGGGCTGCTTCGCAAAAAGTGCCAACTGCTGGCATAACCCTCCCCCCACCCAGGGGCGGTTGTCAATAAACGGCCCAAACATGAAACACTGGTGCCGCCTAGTGCCACTGTGCCGGCATTCAAAGAGAATACCCAACAAGAGCCCCAAGTGCCCTAATCTCGGCATGGTTTTGACAACCTCCCCGTGGTTTCCCTTGAAACGGAAGCCAGGGCTGGTTCCCACTTGCTTGCTCCTCGCGCCAGAGCGCCATGAGCTTCTCGCGGAGCACGTGGAGCTTTGCCTTAAATTTGAGCACACGCGGTGGCCCACTGGAATTGACGAGAACCAAAGACCAGTAGTGAAGTACCAATAACAGGTTTTGGAGTAGAAAGACCCACCAGCGACTAAAATATATACGCAAAAAACTGAACTACCAAACACAAGCAACTCTGAAACATACCGCGAGCAAGGAAAACTCATTTGAAGACCCCATTAAAAAAAGGGTCTGGTGCTTGGGAAACGACGCAAAACCAACAGACCAAAGTTGCCGCGCAGTGGTAGATCATCAGCTGCCGCTCCAGTATCAGCTGATCCTCCGCCTCGGTCTTTCGGACGGACCTCCACCCCACACTCCACACCCAAGGGTGTGTCTTTTTGGAGGGCACCCGTGCTTGTGTCAGTTCCAACGAAAACCAAAAGGGAACCATCCATGAACACAGTGACCGAGGTAGAATCACAGAACCCCTCTTTTACAAAAGGCCACTGAACTGGCAACAATTACTCGTCCCTGACCGTACATACTTTTTGAGCTCCAGCTACCATCCTGGACAATTGTTGTCTTTGGGAAAATGGGGCCCCGTACCCCAGGGGCAAGTGATTTCCCCCATGGAACGACGGGACAAACAAAAGCGGGGGTTCGCACTCACTTTCCCAAAGGCGGGAAAATACTTAGCAACTTACTTCACATTAGCATGGTGATGTTTTTAGAAAACCTTGCTTTTGGTTGGGTTTGACAACCTGTTAGAGGATCGCAACCCTGTCTAATCATGGACGAGAGAAAAAAGGCCAGCATGTCGATCGTTCCGGGCTACTAAGGCAAGCGTGGCGCCCTTGTCAGTGTTTGAAGGGAAGCCATTTAAAGGGAAGCAAACTCAATGAACAAGCAAAACTGTTGGAAAAGGGAAGCTCAGCTATTCAGCCTTGTTGCCCCTCTTAGCTCTAGCTAAGCTTTCCGCAGGACATGAAAGCCAGCTTTTGGTCTAAAAACACCACTCCCAAACACGGGTGGGGCTTTTGGTCCAGGAAGCGTGGGAAAGCGAGTCGATGGTCTGTTAGCCTTTGCGCGTGGAGCACCCCTCTGAAGCGGCCAACTACCTATATAAACCACTAATAACCAAATACACATCAGGCACATTCCCCCCCCATATATGCAAATCAGCATGTGTATTAAAAAAAAAAACTCTATATATACCATGAGTATACAGTATACATATGTATATATGCAAATATACATAGATATATACACCCGTATTTACGATATCTACATTTTCACACGTGCATACATAGTTACACAGAATATATCTATACGGGCTACCAAAGATACTTACCCAAAGCTTTTATTTTCTTTGGGCTTGTTAGTTTTGCTGGGCTGTTCAAAATCCGAGCGTCGGCCAATCCGAACTTCCATCATCCGTATTGCAAAGCCACTAAACATGGGAGCCCTTTCGTAAGGATGAAGCCCAGACTGAGCTTCTTCTCAAAGGGGACCCTGCAAGCGAGATTCAGTCCCGGCTTGTGTGCCTTGAACAGGTGACCCTCTCGGGGCCAGCCACAATTGGACTGGGAATCCAGAACTTTGGCAAGGGACGAGCTTTCCCTCTAGGAACAGTCTTCGACCTCGCGAGAACCATCCGATGCTTTCCGGCACGGCGCCATGAGCCCTTGGCCTCGGTGCGGGCCGGCCCCAAATCTGCCACTGCCTGACAAAAGCCTTATACAAGGAGAACGATGGAGGTGCTTTTGACATCTTTTGACCGTCTTGCGGACCAGTTCGGCATACCTCTAACAGCCGCACATTTTGTCCGGTAAGGCTTGTTCAAAAAATGGCTACCTTGGCTTGGAGAAGGGGGATTCAACCTTTGGCCGTGCATGATCATGCATCGCCACTGAAATTGCGGGCACACAGGTAAAAACACCAGCATGGGAGCTTGCATCTTCCTGGGTGTAGCAATATGCGGTACCCTGGTGCCAAAAAGCGTACGTCCGTGGGCATTTGTTCGGAGAAACCTGCGTGCGTTGTTGGAATCTTAAGACACTTACATCATCGCGGACCAACTCGCAGAACCATGGCAATGACAAAAAAGACAAACTATAGAGGATTCCTCATTGTGCGTAAGTCACCTGGAATTAAGTATCAATGTTGCCAGTAGTGCCAAATTCCCTTCAAAACCAACAGGAAGAAATAACAACTCTTAACCGAACAAATAGAAGGACTTTGTCACTAAAAGGAGGACCACCGCTGACTTGTACGGTCCTCACTGTCGGTCCACTATTGACACTAAACAAATGAACCCCGCCCACCCCCGGAACAACACAAAACAACTCACCACCCACCAATGCCTCCCGCACTCCCCCCAATGAGAAGAAGTATCAGTATATGAATGGATAAAAGACATCAACAAATAGATAAACAAACAAACCAACAAATGAATAAGCAAATAGTTGAGCACTCACAAAAACAAAAGATCGACGGCAAGAATCAAAGGAATGGAACAAAATAACTGAAGAAGACACGGAAAGTTAAAGAAACACCAACAGAAAACATCGAAAAAAGGCAAGACCTCACCCCCCCCCCGTCTGGGGTCTGGGTGGTTCATCGCCAGGCGGCTGCTGAGAACTTCCCTCACCAGCGTGGCGTAGACTTGCTCCCCCACTTCCTGCGGGGTCGCCATGGATGGCTTGACCCGGTTCAAGCGTGCACATGGGCGTGGCGTGTTTGGTGGAATAGGACCACCCAAAATGGACCTCGGTGTTCCTGCTGATTTTCCATGTGTTTGAAAGCAGCAAACTTGGGGCCCCAATTTGGCATGGGGATGACTCGTGGGATTCACAAGTGCGGGCGATTGCGGGCTTGGAGAGGGGAATTGGACCAGAAACAATTTTGCCACTGAGCAACTTGGTGACAGGAACGTGGTCGAGGAAGCCAAGCGGGGCCCATGTGGAAAACATGTAGCTACCCTTTGCAATGCCAACCAATACAAAAGGAACATCAAACAATATGGGCTAGCCTGACCTGCTTAAATGACTGGCCCGAAAACATCAAACGTGGTTGGCAGTTACAATAACTCATGAAGGAAGCAGTCAACAGCAGTTTGAGGTTTGCGAACTGAACAGCGTATAGACCTGACTCAAAAGGACAGTGATGACGTCCAGAGATGAGCCCCTGGCATGATGTCTTTTGAATGGCTTGGAAAGGGATTTCAAAAATAAAACCTATCCAGAATAGTGTCAGCCTTTCAAAGTACCCTTTCAAGTGGCTCCACCGACAGTTGTCCGTGCCTCCATCGGTGATGCCATGCCTGGCAAGGCGAACATCCGTCCCTGAGGGTGCACCGGGCTTCCTCCATTCACCAGGGAATCGGCTAATCTATATTCAGTGTATTGTGTATATCAAACATATTCATATATCCGATATATACATTGCCATATATATATATATATATACATATATTTCCATACATATAGTTCTACCTTCATATACTTCTGTCTATATATATATATACTTATTTATTGTGATATATTGTAATATGAAACTGGAGATGCAAATATGTGGTATATGCTTTGGAGCCATTGCGGGGGAACACCCTCAAGGATGCATTGCAACGCAAACACAACTGCTAGCATCCAGCTCCCCAGCCATGCGAGCCTGCCAAGCTTCGCACACGGAATCCCCCCCGTGTCTTGAGCCGGAAGGCGGATTGCAAATGGCGGATCTACCCTTGGCGCACCAAAAGGCAAAGAGATCTGTCCTCCTACGGGTGGAAACAACTATTGAGAGACACGAGCAGCATGCCAAGGTGCCAGCCTGGCCGAACACCTCCCATTGCTCTTACCTCTTGTCCGGGGGCCTTCCGCGTCGAAGTTCAAATTATCGCTGGAGGACTGACCCTCTAGCCATGTTTGGGCAAAGCGCGGGCCGAAAACACGTCAGAGGGCGGCGGCCGAAGCCTTTAGGGGCAAGGGCGAACTTCTGCCAAAGGCTGGGGCAGGGGGTGAACAAGAACCAATATTGAATGGCCTCTTTGCCGCAAAGAGATAAAGCAGCTACCTCAAAGCCTTGCAAGGTACGGCCTCAAACAGCAGACAACCACAAGCAAGCATTTCGAGTGGGTAGAGTGCTGCCGGGCTTCTACTGAGTTACCGCTATACTGACTGGTTGCGGAACAATATGGGACGTGACGCGTCACTGCTGCAGTCACATTACGCACAACGGGCCCTTTGCCAAAGAGTGTTGCTTTCGCAGGTGCTTGCAGAAAATGCAGACATATGCGACCACAACTATTCATGCTTTACAAGACTGTTCACAGTGCCTTCCAGCTTCTCAATGCTAAATCAATCCCGCCGCAGCATGTAACGACTCAAGCAAACGGGAACAAGTAAGCCGAGGCTGTGGTCCAGCCGGCTGGGGCAATGAGTCAAACTACCTTGGCAAAGCCAAGCTTTCGTATTTTTAAACTGGGCTGTTCAAAATGGAGGGTTGGTTGGATCCTGATCCATAACCCCTACAGCAAAACGGAATGACCCGTTCCCGAAGGATTGCCTTCCAGACGCTCGAAACTGGGCCCCGGCATGGTACTCCAGGCCTCGGCGTCTCAGCTCCGAATGGGCTGAGCAAATTCTGCACGGAACAAAGAAAAAACAGCTTTGTGGTTGGTTGGTTGGTTGGTTGGTTGGTTGGTTGGCTGGCTGGTTGGTTGGCTGGTTGGCTGGTTGGCTGATTGGCTAATTGGCTGATTGGTAATCAAAAGAGCAAGAAACCCCAAACGCGCGCCGAAGGCTGCGCCCTGAACAAAAAGAGGTGGATTGACCGTGGTTAATCCCTCAGCGGTTCAGGGGGTTGTCTCTAAACTCTAGTTCCGCACTCAGCGCCCTTTTTCAGTGAGCGCTTGAGCCAAACGGCGTTTGCCGTTTGACAAGTCTGTCATGTCATGCAACCCTCAACCTAAACCAAAGTGGCCTCATGCAAACCTCACGCCAGTGAACACACAACTAGGCAAGTTACCATGCCTTTGGGGGCAAAGGGGTCGTTATTTCTTGACTCCCCCCTCGCCGTGTGCACTAAGGCAGGGTAAGCTTTTGCTTTGGAGCGCGATACGCTGCTCCCTGGTCATCAAGGCTTTAAAAGGATGAAGGATATTTTGGCACTTTTAGTACTCATAGCACTGCTTTCGGAATGACTTTCTACTTTTTGATGTTGAATCGAGTATCTTCTAGCTCTTCTGGGAGGTCTGTGCGCATTCCCAGGAGCCTCAAGGCGTGATCCCACTTATGTGGAGGCAAAGCCTTGGTAAAGATATCGGCAGCTTGGAAATCGGTCTTCACATATTCAAGCTCTACTCCAGTGCCTTCCTGTAACTGTTCTGCAAGGGATGCTAGGTTAACCCTATGTGTCCTAGAAATTGATCGCAACTTCGAAGAGTGCCCTTTCCTTGCAACCAGAATAGTAGCTTGATTGTCTTCATGGATCCTGAGGGTCATTGGGCGACCCAATAGTCGATCCCACAGACTAAGTGTTGGGTCCCTCCTGATACAAAGAAAATGCTAACGACACAATCTCTGCTTCTGTAGTGGAACGCGACACAGAAGTCTTGCGCTTGCTAATCCATGCTAAGGGGAAGTGGGAATTCGGACCTTTCAGGGCGAGAAACCCCCCTGACGTGGACTTGGCCCCCTCCTCTCCTGCAAAGTCAGCGTCGACGTAGAGCGCAAGATGCAGCTCTCTGGGATCGTCTTGAACTGTGCCAACCAACCTGTGCGTTGTGGTCGTGTTAATGTAAGCTATTAGCCTAGCCAACTGCCTATCATTATTACGCGACCATTTTTGAACGCACGTTGCAAGATCCCCGATGGGCTTGATTATGTCTGGACGTGCAAGACGTCCCAACCACAAGGCCTTCATCAAGATTTTACAAGCGGCTGAGCTCAGTTCACCTGCTTCGGCATCATCTTGTGTTGGCAATGACCCTTCTGGACAGAATGGGGTCAATGCCTTGCGGAGCTTACTAATCGGCTGACCTGAAATGGAGACATATAGATCAACAGTTTGCTTGGCGTAGTCAACCATATCAAAAGCCATTGCGTTGGACAGCGCGCCAAAGGCTGCGCTCTCGGCTGGATTAGGCTCGCACTTCGGGGCGTTAATGATGACATGATTCCTTCCCAAAACACGATATATCGGTTCTGGGGGTTCAATATCAACACATGACATCAGCTTTTCCCAAAAGGGATCATGCTGCTCTGCCGGCCCTGAAAGTGTTAGATCATCCACATAAGTGGATAGCATTAAGCCGGTTGAGGGGAAGTAAAAGTTTCCTGGAAATTCTTGGATCTCCTCTCCGGTCTGCTCCTTCAAGATCTTCTTGAAGTGCTGCTCCCATAGCCCCCCCGCGTCGGGGTGACCGTAGAGTGCTTTTACTAGAAGGACTACCGGTTTTATAAACTTTTCTTTCCACCACTTCGGACGAAGTTCCGGCGGCAATGATATCCACGTCTGATGTTGAGATCGAAGTAGGGCCTGGATATATGCCTTTACGGCGTCTGCCGCCGTGGTTTTGTGACCTGGCAGTGAGCCGTAGGCAAGGCAGTTGTTCAAACCCTGAACGGACGTAGGGTTGGCGCCGAGTTCTTGATAAACGGCCGCCGCCCCATATTCGTCCCGCGCACAGTCCCCTCGGTATACTATACGCCCCTTCACTTTCTGTAGATGCTTTGCTAGCTCAAAGAATTTGATGGAGGCGATGGTCATTAGTTGCCCGAAGTGGACTTTAGTGTGCGTCCGTCGCGCTTCAGCAGCGACCTCTCCTTGCTCTCTCACGGTGCTGAGATCCCAGACTCCCGCATTACCTAAGCCGTCTGCTTCTTCCTTTATGGCCTGCAATGCCTCGGACGAGGCAAGCATTTCTGAACGTGAAAGAAGTTTTGTGACCATGGCGGCTATGTCGGGAGAAGTCTCCTGCTTTGGAATTCCCTGAATTTCCCTAACGAGATTATCCAAGTCAAAGAGTTCTTCAAAGAATCTGCGGGATGTTGGATCTGATTCAACCACTGACGCGAGAGCCCCAACACCCGAAAGTGCGGAGGTATGCTTCAAGGACTGCTCCTTTTCCCGATGCTCCTCTTGCACGATGACAGCCTGGACTGGCATTGCAGGCGCGCATGGTGTTGCGACATGCGGATATAACGCACTAGCGATTATCTTACACATTTCTTGTGGATAAAAGGCGGTGCGTGCAGTGTTGCTACCTGCGGCCTGTGCATGCTTGAAGGAGTGTTGGTGGGGGCATGTCCTATTCTGGAACCCATCATGAAGTTCCTTGGATGTGGTCATGAGACGCCACGGCTTCTTGATGGGGGTTCCTTCCTTGTCAGTTAGACCTACTGCACACCCGTGGAAAGTCACTGAGTGGGAGCGAGACGCATGCTTCTCGAAGAATGCCTTTACGTCGGGGCGCTCCCATCCCTCGCAGTCGCGAGGCCACTCGAAAGTGACGTGACCCTCTTGTTCTATCACTACTTCGGCGTGCTTTGTGAACCTTGCGAACAACGCCTCCGATCTTTTAACCTGTGCACGGAGATACTGCTTGTACTTGTTGCCATACTTATGGACATTTAGCCTTTGCCATGGCGACCCGGAGGTGCACGGAGTGGCTGCCCACATGTTAGGCTTGCTACAAGACTGCAACTGAGCGGTCAGTTGCTCATCCCCTTCATTGGTTTCAAGATCGATGCGTTCTTTAGCCAGTCTCACGTGGGGAATGCCCAATGCTTGGTGCACTGCTCCCATGGTGGAGTCACTTGAACATGCATACTCGAACATTACAGGCATAGAATTTCCCCGCGCGATACGCTTGCGGGCCCTCTTATTCCCTACGGAAAACTTTTTGCATGGCTCCCTTTTGGAACATGGCATGCCGAACACAGGCAGAGTCCGAGCCTCCCTCTTGGTGAAGGAGTCGGCTACGTGGCACGTGAGTGACGTGGAGGTTGCAGTGGTTGTTGTCACCGCCGCGCCAGTTGTGGCTGCAGGCGGCGCGGTTGGAGGAATCCCCCCTGGCCGAGACGGAGCTGGCTTGCCGCGAAGAGCATCATCATGCTCTTCGGATGCCCTCAGTGCTTTCTCGAGCTCATCGGGATCAGATAGATCTGCCTTTTCAAGGCGGGAAAGCTCAAGTGCCTTTTTAAGGTCGGCATCGTCTTCTTCGAGACGTGCCTCCTTGGCTGCATGAACTGGGTCAATCGCTTCGGAGGGGCGAAGTGACCGCTCTACCTCGACGGCAGCCGAGCGCTTGGAGCGCTCCTCGGCTTTCTCTGTATCGACAAGCCTTGCGAAGCGGCGTCGACATTCGGGGGTATGGTACCGGGTGCGCCCGGTACAACCTCGACAACCTGGTGTTTCACGGAACCGGATTATCCGATCCACAGTGATGTACACGCCTCGCGGCGTGCCTGGAGCGGGAGTCGGCGGTGCAGCTACTTCGCTAAACGGAACCTCTTTAAGAGCGACTTCTGGGAGCTCACCCTCGGCTTCCCCCGTCCGCAGCGCCTTGTGGGCTGCTGCCGCAACGGGGAAGCAAGGCTCACCTTCTTCAACGAAGAGTTCTGCTTCCGGGACATCATGCACTACAATCGCTCGACGAGTCCTAAATTCTTGATAATCTAGGACCTTGACCACATGGCGATACCGAAGG